AACCACAACTGCAGCAGAAGTAGGCTTGCCAAGTCCCCCCGGGGGGCGGGGAAACCCCCACCCCAGAGGCCCATTCCCCGCTGCCGGCGGATCGGGCCCCGGGGGGAACCCCACCCCCCAAGTACGCGATGTGCACATCACCCGGAAGTGACACGACCACGCCGGGCACGCTCTATGGTTTCCCCTCGTATGGTCGTGGCCCTGCCCCCAGCACGCCCGGCGTAATCACGTCACTTCCGGGTGACGTGGTTGCAGCGCACGCACACACTCCAGGAGCGAGTGTGTCCCCCGCTGTGGACTTGGCAACCCTAAGCAGAAGGAATTCAACAAAACATTAAAAAACCCTCTTGTGATTTTAAAAATCTCAGCATTTCCATCCTTTGTTCACTTGTACATTATATTGCTCTAGGATCACTAATAGGATTGGTGCAGTTTGCATCAGTCCTTGTCTTTTTTGAGATACAGTTACCAAAACTGTACAGAATATGCCAAATGCAGTCATATCATAGATGTATGCAGGGTATTACAATACTGGCTGCCTAAATTATTTTTAATTCTTTTTCTAACAATTCCTAGGATAGAATTTGTCTTTTTGCCACTGTCACTCACTGAGAGTTGTCATTTTTATCCATCACGAAGCCAAGATCTCTTTCCTGGTCCCTTGTATATTTAAATCAGCCCCAAAGTATATAATTCCTTATTTACATTAATATTATTTTTCACATTGTCACCTAGTCACCTGGTCTGAAAAGATCCTTTTCGAGCTCCTTGCAACCCATCTTGGTGCTCTCCATCCTGCTATCTGCAACGTTAACACTTTATTGCTCATCCCCGACTTGTGATCATTTATAAACAAATGCAACAGTCCCAATACCAGCTCCTTACTTCATTCCATTGCAATCATTGTTCCATTTAGTCCTACTCTCAGCTTCCTGACAAACCAGTTTGATCAATCCATGAGATGATCTGTCCTCCTATCCTGTGACTTCCAAGGAGCCTTTGATGAAAGACTTTGTTAAAAGCAGTTTTGAAATCCAAGTCTAAATATTTACCAGATCCCCTAGTTCACAGATTAGTTAACTCTCAAAGAACTACAAAAGGCTGGTGAGACAGGACCCCTTTACAGACGCATGGCTGAGACTTACCTCGGTCGGTCGGTTGTTGTTTGCCAGACAGGAGGCGGGGGGATGGGGAGGCTGGAAGGAGATGACCAGGTTCGGACAGCTCCTAAAGGGAGGTGGGGCGTTGGCATGCTCAGCAGAGGCTTGCCAATCGAGTTGCTGTATGTGGTACGGGGTGGGGCAGGAGCCCGAAGAGAAGGTTTTTGTAGCACCCTGTGCCTGACTCCAGCCTCTTTTGTCCCCGGCAGTGGCTTGCCTACCCTCCCTCCCTCATCTCTGAGCTTGCTGATGTAGTTGTAGTTTGTATTAGTGTAGGATGATATTTACTATCTTTTACTTTCACAGCTTGGCAGTCTGGCCATTGGGACAGGTCCCATGGGGGAAGAGGTATGCCTGCGTAGATGCTTCTCCTTCCCCTATTTTTGTGGGGGCCCCATAAGGGGCCCTGTGGCATGGAGCCATTCAGCTACAGCCCTGGGGGGGGTCTGCTGGATGGCTTCTGCCCCAGGTGGCAGGGGGGCCATGCAGAGGCCGGCGTCCAGATATGTCCCAGGATCCTGCCACTCCACAGTCAACCCCCCCCCCCCCCAGGGGGGCCGGGGAAGGGGCATCAGGCAGCAGACAAATTGCCCGATATTAGGACCCATCCCTACGCTGCACCACTGCACCTTTGTTTGTAGTAATTAATAAGCTGTGGCCTTGTTTGATCCAAAATGATTGTCTGAATGTTCATTCCTTCCAGCGCCTCCCCCCATACCCTCCTTGAGTCCGCAAGCCACGTTGATTCTTGCTGTAGAGCACTTTCCTCAATGTACTAAATCTCCTTTGGATTCCTTTTTGAAAATGGTTGTTACATTTGCTATCTTTTAATGCTCTGGAAGGGAGGCTTATTTTAGCAAAAAGGATTTCTTAGCTCAACAGTCTCACGTTTGAGTTCCTTAAGAGCCCTTCCCTTGAGCATGTTCCATCCAGACCTGGTGACTTGACTGCACATGAAGCTCCTTTACACAGAATCAGACCATTGTGGCTTTTAATTTGTCCCTTGACTGTTATTTCTTGTCTCCTGTGCTTGACTTAGTTCTCTTAACATCCTCCCAAAAAACAGCATCTCTGGCTTGGATAACTCAACTGCCCCACATTTTCTGCACTGAAAACTGATGCAAAGAATTCATTCAGATTCTCTGCCCTTTCTCTGTCTTCCTTTAGCAATCCTTTCAGCCCTTTCTCCTCATCCAAGGAGTACCTCTTCAGCTATTTCCAGTTTCTGATATTTTTAAAGAAAGGCACACTGCCAAAACCTCTACTCTTTCTTGTTTACCTCATTTGAACAAGACTTGGACATTAAGGGAGGCCTTCTTGCCTTTGATGAGATCCTTGCTCGCAGGGCTATTTTTGAGCAGGAACGCACAGGAACGGAGTTCCGGCTGGCTTCAGAGTTGGCCACGCCCACTATAGGCAAAACCTCTGCGTGCGTGGCTAGAGGTAAGGCCTGGAGAGCAACCCCCCCCGGCGACTCTGAGGTAGGGGGGCCAGGGGGGCCCTGGAAGGATCAGGGAGGCATTTAAATGCCTCCCCATGCCTTCCCTAACCTGTCCAAGGGCCGGCTTGCCTGGGCTCCCCGCAGCCACAGGGCACCCGGGCAAGCCAAGGGAAGGCATGGGGGGGTGGCCTAATAGGCTAATGAGCTGCATTGTTGGGGTGTGGCCTGTTATGCTACTGAGTTCCTGCTGGGCTTTTTCTACAAAAAAAGCCCTGCTTGTATTTGCTCATTAGTGTTGTCACCTTAAATTTGGAGGTAGCTTTCCTCTGCAGCAGACGTTCTGAGATGCTGTTATTGTGGATTTAAATAATTTCTTAACATCCTGAAGGAATCTGAGCTTCTTCACCCTACCTTCTGTATTGCTTTTGTGGAATTCTTTCCCGAGAGAGGTTTAGCTCTTGCCACGTTTGTCATCTTTTAGATGCCAGGTGAAAACCGCCCTGTTTCCCCAGATGTTTTCTTCTTTCATCTTGCCCTTTCTTTGTTACCCGTGTTTGCTAAGGAGCTACTTTATGCTCCTTAGGCATTTATGGGCACTGCTGTTTTAATTAATATTTTAAGGGTGGCAGTGCTACATTTACCATATTATAATTTCAGAGAGCAGCTGTGTTGGTCTGCAGTAGAACAGCGAGGGTTGAGTCCTTTGCCTGCCGAAAGCTCATGCCCCCCAAAATCTTGTTTGTCTCTAAGGCGCTATGGGACTAGAATCTAGCTGTCATAAGACAGAAAGGCAACATATGCTTTTTAAAAAGGAAATAACATATAATTAAACATATATTTTTTAAAAAATAACCTAAGATAAAATTGATATTCTAACAGAGCTGTCCTAAACAGATATGTGCCCTTCAAAGCTCACCGACTTCAATGGACTTGGAAGGGTGTAACTCTGCTTAGGACTGCATTGTATTTAATGCATGGTTCATTACATAATATGTAATAGGTTGGATCCAGCTAGAGTTAATCAATGTTGCCCAGGTCCCTAGTTATTATAGCCCCCAGTCCCATGGTCCCCAGCATAGCCTGTTGTGGTAGGCTCAAAGGGGACCCATCCTTCCACTTCCACCAGCAGAAAAGCTGGTTAGATCCAACCCAGTATGTACATGTGTGTGTGTATTTATATGTCTGTTGGATCCAATATCCAGTAAGGAATTTTCTGTCAGAGGAAGGAACTGATATATTGCTGATAACTATGCAATGGATTATAGCCATAGGGCCAATCACTATGGGCCTGATATATTCCGGAAATAAATAGGAATTGCACATAACTACATTTTAAAAAAATTATTTCTACTTTGAGCACATTAGTTGCTCTTGCACAATTGTCACTGATTTTGGCGTGACTTGTGGGGGAGGGCTGTCATTTGGATCATGTCCGTAGCGCACTCTCGCTGCTGAGAAAACATTTCCAAGGAGCTTTATCTCATATTTATAAAATGCTGGATGGTATGCAACACTCAGGTGAGGGGCAATATTGTTCCCGGACATAATTTAAAGTGCTGGTTCTTAGGTATAAATCCTTAAAGGCTTTAGGGGCAGGATGCTTGGAGGACCAACACCCTCTCGTACTGTCTAGCCTGGCAGGTTAAGATCATCTTCGCAAGCTGTGATCCCTGTGGCTCTGCCTACAGAAGTGAAGCAGGTGATGACCAGAGACGGGGCTTTTTCAGTGGTGGGACTTCATCAGTGGAACGCTGTTCCCCTTGAGGCTCACCTGGGGCCATTTAAGTGGCAGGCTAAATCATTCCTTTTTTTATCCTGCCTTTTAAAACCAGGGGTTGATCTTTTAAACTAGTTTTACAGTCTGCCCTAACCTGTTTTTTTTTCTTTCTAAAACTATAAAATATGTTATGTTTCCTGGCTTTTTTTTTTTAAAAAATCTGTCTTTAATGTATGTTAATAGTCTGTTAATTTTTAGCTATCTGTATTTGTATTTGTTGTTTTTATTATGTTTTACCTGTGAGCTGCCTGAAGCAGGTTTTTTTTTTGGAGAGGTGGCACAGAAATGTTATAAATAAATCAATATGAAAACATTGCTACCAGTCGGAGCTCGCCAGGACAGGATAGGTTCAAAATCAGAATATATGAATGATAGCTGGATGGATAAATAGATGGATGGGTGGATGGATGGATGGACGGACAGATGAATGTTTAATCTTTTAGCGGCATTCTACGTGTGCGAAGTCTGAAAGGACACCCTTTCATGCACATTGAATCAACCCTTTTCTTGGGTTTATAGGGTATTATAAACCTGCTTAAATAGTCCCGCTTAAAACTTCCTTTTTCCCCAGGGGACAATTTATAAGGAGGAGGTGGGATTGGAATGGAGGTGTCTGTTATGCTTACCCGCTTCTTTTACTGCTCATTAACCACTCTACAAAATCTTGAGCTCTCCTCGTGTCCAAGAACTTGCTGTAATCGCTGGTGAATGTACCTTGTGAATGACGTTTCACTTCGTTCAGCTGTCTAGATTCATCTAATGGTTCAGCCTGGGAAGCTTTGAATAATCTATAAGTGCGGTTTGTAACAAATTAATTACACTGACAATGGCATATTTAAAAGGTGCTGTGCCTCGTACTGAGCTCCACAGTTCAATGAATATATACGTATGTTCTAAAAATCATTGCTGCTAATAAAAGATCATCAGTTGCTTGGTAATGGCAGAAATGGACCACGACAAAATTGCTACTGTTTGAACTCATCAACTGATGCATGGCTGTAAATTATACTGAGTTGTGCTGATATTTAAGGGGGGGGGAGGGAATTTGGTTAGTTTCTTAAAGGATTTTCCATGCCGGCTTGGTTTCTGTTATAAGGAAATGCAGAGTTAAATTTGGGGTTATTACAGCATTAAAAGTTTGACGGCTGGTGTTTACCTGGATTTCTCTTCTGCTTCTTGAAGGGCGCTTTGCCAGCTGCTTTGAACAATCATTAAAAGCAACCCCGCCACAAAGTACATGCTTTTCATTTTCATTGCCTGCAAGACAGTGGAAAAGAACTGATCACAAAAGGACTTCACTATAATCGCTTGGCAACAGCAGAATTAGATTTAGACCACAACAACCCTGGCCTAAAGCATGACAAGCACAGGGAAACTACTCCATGCCCTGAATCCTATATAACTTAGACTTGATTGATACATTACAATCTCCAAGTGGAAGCCACATAAAATTCCTCTGAGCTCTATGTGGCCATTTTATTGACTGATTTGTTTAAATACTTCCTCACACACCTCCGAAAGAGGATCCAAAATGGTTTATAAAAATATCACCACAAATAAATCAATGTCAGAAAATTTTAAACCATTACTAGTGGCAGTCATCATCACGCATAAACAACAATTAAAACTCCAATTGTCATGTTTTTACCCCTTCCCCACAAACCCCCAGCCTCTTATATAAAACTGTCTTGTGGGCCTTCCTAGAAGCTGGCAGAGTTGATAAACTCTTAATCTCCAGGAGGAGATTGTTGCCCAAGGCCAGAACTATTGCTGAGAAAGCTGCAAATGGACAGAAGCTGTTCTAACCTCCCTGTGGGAAGGGACAAAAAGATGTTGTCGAGACTATTATAGCAGGCAGGCCAGTTCATTCAGGGATGTATATAGGTACGTAGGACCTAAGTCATAAAAGGAAGAATGCACAACTTCAATTGAGCAAAGAAAAAATAGGCAACCCATGAATATGTTTCAGCGTTAGTGTATCATATTGAAATCAGTTGTTCTGACCAACAGGTGAGCTGTGGCATTCAGTACCAACTTGAAGTTTCAAAATTGCCTTCAAGGGCAGTCCCATGCAGAAGTCAAAGTCTCAGCAAAACAATAGCCGAGCTCTTGAAAGATGCTAACTACATGTAGATGGTCCTTGCCAGTGATGCACAATGTTGTCACAGGCATGAGGACATGGAGCCTCCTAGGTTGAAGTATATGACTATCAGGTTTCATGGACTAGAACATAGAAAATGCTGCAATGAAGAAAACCTTTTTGGGAACTTTTAGACCTATTTCCATATATTTAGGAGTGGGATTTGAGACTGACTTTATGTATATTTCAGAAAATGCAAACTAGTAAAGGCAATTAGCAAATGTGGAAGGCTACCCTGTATTTTTTTCCTTGTATCTACTGAGCACTTAAATAAAAGGATTTTCCACCATATTGTTATATCTTTAGATCAGTTTCTATTTACAGTGAACAACAAATGCCCAGAAAATGGGACTACCCATCCTGTTGCAAGCAATGGAAAGGGATTTGAACACACGTTTTTTTTTCTTAAGAAAGAAGTTGCTAGCACCCATGTAGATCCCAAAATAAAATCTCAAAACAACAACCACCCAAACAAAACCAACCCCAAAACAGAACACAATCCACACTTTACCTTTTATTAGCCTCAACCAAATGACACACATCGTTGTCATTTTGGTCAGTCCAATAAAAATTATCTTTAGCCTACTGATTCCATTGGAATGTCATTGTGACTAGGTATGGCTAGACTGTACCTAATAACCCTAACATGTTTGTAAGAATGCATAAAGCATTGTCTTTATACTCAAATTTAGTTACAAGGCTCTGTTCGGTGCTGCCATTGAGTAGTGCAATGCTGCCTCCCAGTGCTTTTTCTCAAGAGGGCATGTTCTTCATACAAAACTTAGAAGCCTTCAGCTCTGTGTATATGTGCTCTGCATGCCGTTTTTCAACGTAGTATTTTTCCCTCCTCACCTTTTAAATGAAGAAAAGAACCTGAAAATACCCATCCCATCAGAAAGATCAGACACTGATTATGAGGATGGTGAGTTCTGACTCCACAGAGTCCAGAGGGAATGTGTATTGCTCTCTCCTCTCATTTATCATCACAACAACTTCATGAGGCAAACAGATCCGCAGTCTCCCAGAGAGCTTCATGGCAAAAGGTGAGGGGAAGGCATTAAACCCAGGCTTGCCCAGTCCTACTCTGAAACTCTAACAGCTACACCACCACTGGCTATCTATAGCTCAGTTGATAGTGTATAATCATTAGATCTTCATGTAGGAATGGAACAGTACCTATAGGAACAGGTTTGGTGAAGTAAACATGCTTATGATTGTAGTGTAACACCTACTACCACAAACACACTAACTTCAAATATGGGAAATTCATGCATGCATGTTTCTCATCAACTTGTCCTTTACTGACTTGTCTGCATGGCATGAGCGGCTAACACAGACCAAAGTCTGCAAGACAGAACTTTCTCATACTACCGTGTGTCCTTCAACACAATTACTTATGTTGCGCTCTTCAGCATTCTTCTAGTATAGCAGTTTACACTTCCAGCCAAAGATCTTTTAGAACCACCACACCATCCTAAGCAGAGTTATACCCTTCTAGGCCCATTGACTTCAGTGGATTTAAGAAGGTTGTAACTCTACTTAGACTGTGCTATATAATTATCCCTGAGTATCTCTTTACACCAAAAGAACTTACTTCATTAGAATACTTATGAATCCTTTTTCCCCATCAGAGAGGGAAATAATTCTATCTCAGCCAACTTTTGTTCTTTTCAAAATAGGGTATGAAAGTGCCCAATATAGTCAACAGGTTAAAAAAAAATAATCTCCCCACCATATTTAACTTTCATTACTTTCTCGTAACTCTGTGATTACACTTTTGATCTCCCTGTCTGTGTCATTAACTTCAGCCTCACGAGGAAACATTGCAAAATACCTCTCATGCAAAATACGTCCTTTAAATGAAATTAATGTTAAGCAACATTATTTCTTCAAAGCTAATCGAGTCAAAGATTTCAGGGTGTATATTTTTTAAATAGGGAAAAGCTCATAGAACAACCTGTTGATACGGCCTAAGTTTTCACAAGTTACATTCGGTTTAGCAAAGAAATGCTAGAGAAAGGCAGCCGATCTGACTCTTACCTTCAGATGTGTGGAAAGGGAAAGTACGGAGAAGCAGGACAGACAGCACCTCTTTCCTGGGGTTTTGGAAAGCCTTGAGGATCTGGGTGCGTCTGTGAAGTAGTCTCGTCCTGCACAGCCTCATATATATATTCCAGTTCAGCTTCAGTAAGCACTTACAAGACTGCATCATTGCTGACAATTTCTTTACTCAATTTTTTTACGCGGGTTTGTTTACCATTCTTTGCATTTGGCCAATTTTTTATGATTGATTTCACCCATTTGTTCTGCTTACTTTATTATGACATCAGTGTTGAAATAGAGCCTAACAGCAGTACAAAGGCAATGAGGTGTCATTGCCAAAAAGGGTATCTGTCACAGTGACCGTAAAGGCATCCAAAGTGGCATTCAAGAATCTGGGGAGCAATTGATGACATATTCTAAGCAGTATGTTAATTTATCTGTAATAGCCCAAATACTTTGGGCACAATGCAACCAAAGGTAAGCCTAGAAAATCTCACTGATCTTAATGAGAGAGGTTTAAGCAAATGCACAAATCCTGTCCCTGACTCCAGAATGTGATTGCTAGCCTCTTGGAACTGCAACTTGTTTCCAAGATCCAGACATCAGTTCCACTGGAGAAAATGGGTGGTTTGGAAAGGGGACTCTGTGGAATTGTACCCCACTGAAGTCCCTCCCTTCCCCAAACTCTGTCCTTCTCAGGTTCCACACACCCCCATATCCAGGAGTTTCCTAGAGCGAGACGGCCCTTAGGGGCACCAAACTGCACCTGGCCCTGTACTCTGGGAGTTTCTTGATTATTTGTCTTTTTCATTCTTCCTAAAATACATTTATTTTTTAAAATTGGTGGGCGCACGGGAGGGGGGGGCAGAAGGGATCCTCGCCTAGGGTGCAAAATAAGCTGGAGCCAGCCCTGGCTGGCAACTCTATTAATATGTCCCATTATTTCACATTGAGGGGAGGGGAAGTGCCACCACTCAACTTGGGGACATAGTTGTGCTGACGGCAAAAACTCTGCTCCTGATGTGCCCCACTTTTTTGTCCTCTTTCAAACATATTCCATCTATGATTAATCCTTTGCAATGACAGTAAAACACACTGCCAGGTCTCTCTCATCCCACATGGTTTTCTTGAAGGAGAAAAAAATAGAACGTTGAGGGGCAGTAGGGGGCAGCAAGAAGCCTCGAGCCAAATGGAAAGATCCTGAAACTCAATGGTGACACAAATTCAACTGCTGTTCCAATAAATTATTTGAAAAGGATATCTTAATTTATTGTTGAGTTCACAATGCAATAATTACTAACATTATTATTTTGCATCAGAATGATTTACAGGGCCACAAAGTGCCTAACAACTTATATATATATTGAACAGGGGTTTTTTTGGTTTTTTTATCATTGTGAAAATAAAGATTTAATAAGAGGGCTTTTCCTTTACTTTCCCATCAACTTCCAATTTCTCCATTTCAATCATTAGAAAAGAACAGGGTTACGTGTTTTCCTGATTTTTTTCTGGCTGTTTTTGTTAAACTTCACTTCTTCAATTACAGATAATCTGATCTAATGTAATTATAGGAAGTAGGCTATAAACCAGAGACAACTGCCTCATTCTTGTTTGTGTCCCTTTTTTATAAACTATCATTATTATCATTCTTTTTTTTAAATAAAAGGTCAAAGATTTTAAAACTCTGTTTTATTCTGGTGCATTTTTAAGATCATCGTAAACCCGCCTTGAGCCCTTTTAAGAAAAGGGTGGGCTCAAATGCCTTAAATAAAAAGGAGGAAATATCCAGTAGCTTAAACAATCTAAGAACAGAAAATTATGTCATTTAAATGTGTTCTACAAAAGGAGCAGATTTTTTTAAAATATTATACTAATTCAACCCATCCTAATCTGGATGACCGTGGTCAGTATTTGGATGGGAGACCACCACAGAAGTCCAAGGTTGCTATGTAGAGGCAGGCAGTGACAAACCACCTCTGAATGTCTCTTGCCTTGAAAACCCTATAGGGTAGCCAAAGATCAGTTGTGACTTAATGGCACTTTCTACCACCACCACCACCACCACCACCAC